ATATATATATATATATATCTCCTTTTGTCGTAATTTTACCGATTCCGGATGACGACAGAATTTCGAGATGGGACATATATATAGAAGGATTGGGATTATTCTCCTTTCAAGATTATATTGACAAATAATTTGCGAGCCCAACATTCTGAATTCCATTCTTTCCTCGAGAAGGTTCTATAGGCGCGTGCAAATCCAATCCAAATATTCAACAATCAATCTTGTTTGATTCTTATCTATCCCTTCATCATCCTATTTCCTGAGATACCCTTCCCCGCAATTTGCCAATCCAAGATAAATCCTAAATCCTGATTGTGTTTGGTTTTCCCTTGCCTCACCGGTCTTCTGTGTTTGGGTTTACCGTCTGAGCCAAGGCTGCAGAAAATGGAAAATAAAATGGAAACTACTATTTAGGGATTTGGGTTTGTTCGGAAGATACGCGCCCTTAGATTTCGTCCTAACATCCCAGGCGTTAAGAGGACGGAAGTGGTGAAACCAAACGATATATGGCATACAGCCTTTCCCAAACCCTGTACCATGCCGCAGGTCTGAGGGAGATCAATCAACCCTAAACCCTTAAACCCTAAGCCCTTAAATCAAACTTTTTCCACCGGCTAAGTCACCGCGTAGAGAGCATCGCCAGCCTTTCAGTCCGTCATAGGGTTTAGGGTTTGGGATTTAGGGTTTAGGGTTAATTGAACATCGTTTGGGGTTCTCTCAGGTAGCAGACGTTGGTTGGGATGAACAGAATCTCTCATGTTGATAAAGTAGGGCTGTGGAAAACCGCGCATACTTGCTATCCTTGAGGCGGTACCGGTACCTGAGAGTTAGGCTTGCAATTTTTGAGGGCCAAAGCATGACAATTTCCAACACCATGTTGCAAAAGGGTAACAGCACCCTTCGGGGGGAAGGAAGCATTGCTGGCGGGTACCTCCCCAAAGAGTTCTCCAACATACCAACCGTGCTTCTCCACTGCTTCAAGGGACGAAGATCACGTTGTGACACTTGACCTACCTGGTATCTTGAGGGTTTAGGGCTTAGGAACCGCCAAGTCTTCAGGAGGGAGGGTTCCTGTCTCGACAACCCCGAAATGCTAGGGCCATGGATCCCTTGTATAATCCCCATAACCTATACCTCATCCTGGTTCTGAAGCCTACCCCGGCCAACAGCGCCTTCATCCTTAGAGGGGCTATCTCCAATAACCTAAGACACAAGTGACAAAACAAAGGAAAGAACAAACGAACGAAAAACATCAACACAGCAAACAGCAGAAACAACGGCCCACAATAATGCACTAGTTCGGTACCCTCGCGAGCCCCAGACTCGGAAATCCATGTTCTGTTGCAAATACTGGCGGAACCTCAGCGCGATGACAAAGGAGGCCTAATCACCATTTCCCGATAAGCTATCGCTGCCCCTGCAGTCTACTAGCAAATATGACACACTGTGACTAACATTTGAATCACGCATTGGTACCTGTAGAGGCATCATTGTCCATGCGGGGTTTGCCCAGACGGTGCAGTCAATACTCTAAATAAATCGAGGAAGATCCTGTAAGCCCTCAGATGTTGATGCCCCAAGGACCCAAATAGTCTCAAGTCTCGTACTCCAGAAATGCATGGTAATCTCGAGTTGAGCCCCCATGAAGCTTTTGATGGTAGATCCGCGCTAGACGCTATACCGGCTCATGGTTAGTGGATCCGGCCAAAAAACTGTGGGGGCATCTTTTTGTTCAGGCAGAAACGACTAGGACATAAGAGGAATGTGCATGTAACACGCTCGGGTCCGCAAGTATCTTTCTAGGGATTTCTGCAAAAATCACTAGCACCGGCCGTGCTAAATTAGTGGGACCTATGGGTTACCATCTGCCGGGGCATGTAGCAGGCTGAATATGTCTGAGTAAGTCATCTACGTGGTTCGTGTGGTGTCCTAGAAACCTGTCCTTCCTGTGCTGAAGCATTGACGATGTCAGCAAGAAACTTTCCAAACTCTTTGGGCTCCTCCATGATAGTTGTAGGAATGCAAGCTCTCCTCTCGTTGCGTGATCCACTGCTGACTTCAACTTCGCTGTTATATAATACAGTGATTGTCATTATGTTTGCAACTACTCGCATGAGGTCAGATGGCTTCGACTGTTCAAAGGGCCGTTGACAACCGCAGCTCCCAGCACGACTGGGTCTACCGCTGATCGAGGTTCGCATACCTCATGGCCTGCAATTCGTAGAGACTGATGAGAAGTTGGGAAGACGTTCTGTAATTCACAGCAAAAAAGTATCCATATCTCACCCTGATTGAGGTTGGAGGTCTATGCAAAAACACTTCTTTTCTTGCGGCTGCCTGGGCCTCAAAAACATTGCAAACGTGCTTAAACTCAGATAGTAAGTGGGTCATAGCATTTTCATGCCTTACAGTATCCCTTCGTACTACGACTACGAGCGTCACATGGTTGGAGGCAAGCGTTTCGGTGCGTCTATCATAACAGCCACACGAGACAATCAGCGCATGAGAAGACTATGAACTCCACGCTAAGGTTCTGCGAGGTTCTCGACATCCGCGAGTCCACGATAGCTTTACCACACCGTTTAAGGCATACTACGGTGGCGAGGCTCCAAGCGCATCCCGGGGAGTTGCACACGCATGTTTCGCCCTGCATGCTGTGCACTAATGAAACCGCACACGTCTGGAAGAGCACAAAGACTTCTCGTCATTCATCATAATATCAACAACCCTAGATTAGAAGGCCCAGCGGAAAGCAACATGTTGCTGCACACCTCGGCTTCTGGTGACACAAGTAAGCAGGATTGGAGAAACATGCCATGTCAAGAGTGCCCATGCTGGGTGCTCTCCCCAACGCCTCCTTCTTCAGGACGTGCATGAAACTGCGCATTGCATTTCTCGCCGTCCTTCAGTGAACGGTCTCGGCAATACAGCAGTGGCCAACAGGGCTAATGCCAGCACCCCCTCCTCTGTATGGAGGTGATCTCTTGCTTTTCCTCGGTGGCTCACGGCACTGCCACAAAAGTGCTGGACTTCATTAGAAGCCCCACTTAGCATGCAGGCTGCCCTGCCCCGCCAACAACCCAACATTGCTCTGAACAAGCAGGAGCTTAGCAAGCGGTGAAACATCTATTAAACGAAGCAAGGTCAAAATTCCTTATTCGGTTCCTTATCACATCTTCATGGTGGATTCCACAGCCCCATCAAAAACAGCACAGCAGCACATCAGCCAGACTTGGCCCTTGACAATCTCTTCAAAGAGCGAAGGCATGTGCTTTTGCCAAGCTTCTCGGCCTTGGTGTTTCCAGTTTAGGGTTTAGGGTTTAGGGTTTGGGTTTTGGAGTTTAGGGTTTAGGGTTTAGGGTTTGGGGTTTGGGGTTTAGGGTTTAGGTTTTAGGGCTTAAGGCTGGTCTTTCCAAAGTCTGAGCATCCTGGTTTAGGGTTTAGGGGTTTAGGGTTTGACTGGGACCACCGCCAATAAAAAGAGCCCAACACAAATTGAGGTAGAGAGTACTGCTAACAACCAACGCAAGTGGATGCTCTATCAAAGTTGCATACCTTCTTGTTTGATCACTGATAGTTTCGCATGGGTGCATGGATATTCAGAACGCTTTTCTCACAGCAATCCCCGATACAACCCCCTTTAAGGAGATTAGACCCTAGCTCAAATGGATCTCTTGAAGCGTTGCTGAGCTAGCAATGCAGTCCACGAATGTCTCAACAAATCCTCATGATAGGGACATAATTATGTCTGCATCCTGAATCGCAATCATCTTGTTAATTATGTGGGAAGCTACAGGAAAGTATACGAAGGAATCTCCACATGTTCTCGGGGGCTTACCTTCAGGGCTGTGTACTTACAAAGCTCACAGAATATTCCCTGGATGACTGTCACCTCGCTCCTGCCGAAAGTTTGCGTGATCCTTACGAAAAACAGTCGCATACGGCATCACCACGTAGAGATCCACGATTCTGGGGAAGTCTGCGTAGAGTTTGCAAAAATGGCGGTGGGGACCGCATCTTCCCCGAGCTACTATAAAAGTCTTAGTATAGGACCTACAGAACAGGACCCTACTTCTTGGAAACACCCCGGGTTATGGTTTCAACCCAATTCCCTAAACCTTGGGTAAGCTCAGCGCCGTTTGCATCGGCCAACACAAGCTGCAGGTCTTGGGCGGTTATCCGCCCGTCCTCAACCAGGACCTTCCTTGTACCCTTAATTGGGGATATGTGGTCCCTGATAGTGGGTACTTGGGCCCTAATAGAGGGTAGGAGGAGGGTCTAGGAATGCAGTTTGCTTTTCTGGCTTGTGCTAATTTGGGTTTAGCGTTCAGGGTTACTTCCCCCTAATGATGGAGAAGCACATGGAAACGAACATGGATCATGACATGGCAACTGTGTTTACATAATTTGCTTTAGCGGGCTTTGGTTCCAGGTTTCCTACTGGGTCTAGGACATGGCCAGATATGCCTGCTTCTCAAACCCACCCCTCCAAAACCCCAACTATGGTACCTTCAAGTCTCAATTTTCACCTAAAATCCCCGGGTACAGAGAGCTTGACAAGCTCAGCTGTATCTAGTTTAGAGTCTATGGCTTCGCAGTCTAAGAATGCGTGTGAAGGTGTGAACCCCCAACCCATGGAGGGGTTCCGGGGGGTTGGCGAGCCCTTTGATGGGCCACAGGCCTTTGCTCAGCCTGGGCAACACTGACGGGCTATAGGTGGTAGCTTCGCCATCTGCCGAATACGGCCTGCTTGACTGTGTTGGAGTTGGCTAACACTGGGCAACACAGCAGGCTGGGCTGCGATCCCAGTATCTGTCCCCTTTGAACTCACAAAAGCTTAGCCCAGGCCATCGCAAGAGGTTCAGGCTTCGGCGCTTGGTTTTGAGTCGAGAACTTGCTGCTCTTGGACCTGGGGAGGCTCCTTCGGTCACCCTACCCACCCTGCTAGCAGGCAGTTTGACTGCGAGCCCTCGAACTACATTGCGTATACACCATTTCCTCAACTGGTGAACCTACACCAAGCCATAATATGCTTACGAAGATGAAAACCCTGGATCCCATCAAACCCAAACACAAAAATCGTAAGCTTACAGCTGCCTCTCGACAAGTCCTGATCGGCATCAAAAGTAGCGAAGGCTGCGTCGATGGCGCGATTGTTGCGGCAAACCTTATGCAATGACTCGCTCAGGACAGACGGCTGGTTATATCGGGGATATATGGGGGCCTTAAAGATATGTCATAGGGATGATTGGGGATATTACCCTGCTTCTTTGACCTGAGTGAGAAAGACGGAGAAACTCTGTTGCATGCAGCGCGCTTTTCTATGGCATGCCGACCCTGGCAAGATGCGCGCAGAAGATGCCCCTAGCAAGATGGCCGAACAGCTGGGACTTCAAAGTTTCCACGAAAGCTACACGCATCGACTTCAAGACCCCTGAGAACAACCCTCACTCAACCCACTAATTCCTTACCAAGCACACTCTATCTACTCCAAACAGGCCTCTTGTGGAGCTGAGATCGGACTGCGCCCTTCTGTAGGGCTCCAACCACATACCACATCGCAGCTGCGGTAAACTCTGTCCTGCAAAGCTCTGTACCGTAGCCCTCTAGTTTGCCACGTAATCACAATATGTACCTTTACACTGAAAACGGCCTCTGGCGAACGTGTTCTAGCGAAATAAGTGTGATCTCAGGAGAGGTTTGAAAGACGCATCTGAGCTGCTCTAATAGCTTGATAGGTCGTAGGGCTTAACCAGTTCGGGCGGAGCGTCTGCTCCCCGTGCTTGTAGTCAAACTCAAAACAAGCGGTGAGATACCTGCACGGATGCTCATCTACGAAACGGGCGGGGCACTTCTTCAAGCCTTTCTATACAGCCGAACCTGCTCTGGATCTCCCAAAGCACCTTTTGCAAGAAGCTGAACAGTTGTGGCAGGTACCCTAATCTGTCCAGGTGATCTGACCATCCCTTCGATGGTCGAGGGCATGGCACACCCGCTCAGCTGCCACGCCGCCCATGCCGCTCCTGAGTCAATAATAATACTGACAGCTTAAAAATAGCAATAACAGTATCAATAGTAAGTAATCAAGGTAAGACTAGTACCAATATTAAGATAGAAGTAAGAATAGCAATAAAAATAGTAGTAGTCAATACTAGTAGTCAAGGGTTTAAGGCACTTCTTGCCCTGATACCTTTGAAGCACAAGGGGTCAAACTGTTTGGATTTACGGAGCACGGAGAAACCCAAACTCCCAGGCACTTAGGAAATGATATGGGGGGGTTTCCAGAAAAGGTCTCCGTGATGAAGCCCTCATATGATATAAGCCTTATTAGAAGGACGTGCAAAAAATGGCCCCTAATACCTGGAAACGCCAATAAGAGCACAACGCAACATTTGCAAGCTTAAGCTGCGAGGTCTTTCTTTAAAGTGCCACACAAGCCTCACACCATGTCTGTGCTTCAAGCTGGTGACAGTCAGCCCTTACAGTAGCACAACCACTGTATTGCAACACCCCTAGCCAGTCTGCTTGGAGCTGGAGGATTGCTAGGCTTTTCAAGGAATGGACAGTGAAGAACACTCTGCAGTTTGCGATTCAGAGTTCAGCATATTGGGTGCCAGTTTTCCTGCGCTTTGTGTCCAGGCGCAGGGTGCAGCGTAAGCTCCCTTTCTTGATGAGCGCGGGCCTACATCTCTTTGATACCTCGCAAGCGAGTTTCCCAACAAGTTCCAAGCGCGTTGCACACTGTTTAACCGTGATGCCCCGTAACTTAGTATGACATGAACTCTTTTTTTTTCCGATACATGCGTGTGCGTCACGTGCAGGAGCCAGCTGCTTGTGAGGAGGGACAACATTACATGAGCCATAGTCTAAACTCCTAATATCCCTTACTAACCCCTATAGTAGTCCACTATATTATCCCCTCAAGAATGAACCCCAGCATGTTTGGTAATGCAGTCCTGCAAAGGCCCCTTCATCTCCAGAAGAATCCATATCCACCAAAATGTCTAGCCCGCCACTTGAACTCCTCAATCGCTGAACCTTCAGACCTAAGTAAGCTCCCTCAACCCAACCCGAAAAGAGGGCTTCCCAAACTTCGGGGTCCTGTTTTGGGAGTCCACATACTCAGGAAATAGTATATTGGGAATTGGGAACTGTATTGGGGTCCCCCTACTTATGGAAAACTTCCCAAAAGGCTCAGGGCCCGGCTTTACAAGTACGGCCTTGAGATCTTGGGCTGAGAGGCTACCTCGGCTTTGTTGGCTGAAAGGTAGGGATTAAAGAGCTTCCCAAAATTAGGTGTACTTTTTGGGGGGGTCCGTAAAATCAGGATTCTGGTAGTTTGGGGGCTTTCGGGTTTGGGTTTTGAGTTTGAGGGTTTAGAATTAAAATTGAAAGTAGGTAACATACAGGGGCTAGCGAGGAGGTACTTAATACGAATGGAACAGAAAATGGAAGCTATTCCATCATTGAAGGCGTGGGGGTTAGGTCCTTTATGATCATCTCGTTTGGAGCGTATTAGGCGACCCCATTTCCGGCAATGCTTCCAACGGACATCTTTGCACAGTCCTGCCTTGACCATCGAATTGGGAAAAAAAACAACCTTTAGCCTTGTCATTTCACGAAGTGAGGTTAACAGACAGCTCATGAACAGGCAACCTCACAAAAGCCACTCAAATCTTACAAGCCGAAGCAAACTTTGGGCGAGCTTTTTTCTCTGGAGTGCTTGTGTTGTGATTGCGGGAACGGACCTAAACTGCGAATGTTAACCTGAGCCAGAAACTCCCTGGCTGGTTTGTAGATATCATCGCTGTGGCGCCCGTCAGAAGTACGTCCGGTCCCCAAACAAAGCAACCGCCCGACCAACAAAGTAACCAATCAATCAACAAACCAACCAACTAGTACGGTGAATGCCTGGTACAGGGACCATGGGGGCTTCAGAACAACATACTTGAGTAGTGTTTTTGGTGGTTGAACCTAGTAAGATTATATTCCTTATATCAAATACTATACCCCAGAAGGAGGTCTATATTGGGTACCATAGTATCCCCAAATAAAATACTACTAACTTGACAGTCCCTCTGAACACTTTGAGCCTTAATCGGAATCTAACTCCCAACAGCCCTGAAATCCGAAAAATGCACTCCAACATTAGTCTAGTGAAGATGGATATTGCAATGCCAGACTCCTGGCCTTTGGTTAGCTGGGAATGAAGCAATGGAAAAAAAATCAAAAACTACTATTATGGGCTATATAGGGACTACTTTAAGGATCCATTCCTTCATTCCTAGCTAACCAAAGGCCAGACTCTAGGGTGAGCACCCTGATTCCGCACATCGAAGTGCGTGAACAGGGATCGGAGCTCTACAAGGGCCTGGCATCAGCAAGCAGCTTCAGCGAGGATGTTTCACACCTGGTTCCCTCTGCTTGTGGCCTGAACTACTGTAAGACTGCAACGCCCCAAGCCCTCAATCGCCCAACGCAAGCCAACTTGGCAAAACTATGTGAGCTATGGTCTAAACTCCTAGTACCCATAGAATAGTCCCCCATACAACCCCTTTAAGGAGTTCAGACTTTAGTACATGTGGTCGCGTTCTAGATTCTAAGGACTGGGCCCTATCCCTGCGCAGAATCTGTCGAAGAATCCATTCCACTCAGCCCCAGCGTAGCAATAACTGGGTTAGCCGTTGGGATATCTAAACATTTTCCCGTGTTAGTTTCATAATTAAGGACCCTGTCTATTAAAAATGTTCAAATGGCTCCAAAATGAAAGTCAACCAAGTTTGGAAACCCTAAACCCTAAACCCCTAAACCCTAAACCCTAAACCCCTAAACCCTAAACCCCTAAACCCCTAAACCCTAACTGGCTTTCTTGGGACTCCGTGTGCAACAGCGCTTCTTCTCAGCCCGCGGCTGCTTTCTGCACTTCGTATTGATGCGCCAAAAGCAGGAAGATGCCCTGACCCGGGACCCTTTTGTCAATTAGCATTGAGGGGTTTGCGAGGCCGAGTCTAGTAGGCTTTAGCGGCGCTTAACACACAGAATTCAGAAGGGGCTAGAATCATGGGGGTGGCGGGGGGTCGACTGTCTGGAGAGGAACCATTTTTTCAGGACTGCAGGACTGACCGTCAGCGAATGGAAACTCATACTTCCTCTGCGAAGTTGCCTGTGGACAACGTACTTACGACCAGTCAATCTTCTGTTGTTACACGGTGCTTTTACTGGTTGCTGTTCAGGAACTTAAATCAAGTTATCATAATGGGTATATAAATATGGTAAATAATGGGGTTTCCCCAATCTAGCAACTTAAATTAAGTTCCGTAACGGCAACCCAGTCTAGGGAGTGTGGATTCTGATTGGTTTTTCCTCTTGAGCTGGGTACAGTTCTGAATCCCAGAAGATGAGCCACACGGTAGCCCTACCATACGATGAGCCTCCACGTGCTCGTACATTTAGCTTGAGGAAAAAATCTATACCTGAATGTAGCGAATTCACAGTAATGTGTAATGGGTCATTGCAAAGAGTAGGTGGCGCGGCACAGCCCCGAGAATTTTGAACACGATCCTCGCCGGCTTTTGGGCCATCAACCTGCATACTTTCTCCACTCCCATGAAAGCCTCACTGATACAAGATATACCCCTTGCTACAAGCCCAAAGGTGCTCGGCATATCAGGCTTTTTGGTACATCTGCAAAGCCCATGGCACACACGCAACTCGGCCTTGCGAAGCTCCGGCATTCTGGCATAGGATTCGACCTCAGTTCATATCTGGGAGCGTGAGAACGGGGTCCCTGTAAGCTGAGGGTTAAGAACACACTGCGTGGGGGAGGGCGGAATATGGAGACCTGAGTATTAGGCCGCACCGATTTCAGAACATCGAATGCCATAGGCATGCTGATGATGGTGATGATGGTGATGGTGGTAAAACTCCTGGGTCCTGGCAGCAAGAGTCATCTCTGCTGTAGCAGAAGTGGCAAAAGCGAACCTCCCGGTAATGTTCCAATCCCCCCACCCCTCATGATAATTTTGTCATGATCGTTTTACTGCTATATTACAATACCACAACCGTGAGGATTTTTATGTTAAGGGGTTGGTTTTCATATGTCCTATAGTCTAAACTCCTAGTATCTCCCTTAATAAGCCCTATAATAGTCAATTATATAATCCCCTATATAACCCCCTTTAAGGAGTTTAGACTATAGCTCATATTGGGGAGCAGATAAACAGTCACTAAGCTGAAGCAGACTAAAAGAATCACGTTTAGCTACAGTTGCAATAACCAGGTCCAATCCAATGCTAGCAATTGTAATGAGTGCAAAGGAATCATGAATTGTTGTAGAATAGAGCTGTAGGATGTAGAGTGGTGGATGGGAAGTTTTTTTTTAAAGAAAAATATGTGTTCTTTACTTTTCTCCTTATCTTCTCTACCTAGGGATGCTCGATGAACCCCAACGCTTCAGCGTAGCCCACTGTTTGCAGCATGGCATTGAAGGGCTCCCGTACTCCCAGTTAAGAATTGAAAGGTAAAACCAAGCCAAAATAAATCCAAACAAGAGTGCTCTT